ACAGTTACATTATTTATTTATTTATTTATCTATATTTATATATATGCATAAATATATAAATACAACCTGCTTACTCTGTGTACTGTTATTGTATGTATATCATTTCAGGTCCAAGCCTAGACAAGGAACTACTAGCAACTAAGAAATACTAAACACTGACGGCATTTTTACAAAGTAAATTTCATGCAATTTATTTCTAATTTGCTTCATTGATAAGGCTTTAGCTTAAATTCAGTTCTACTGGATATCATGTTCTTTCTGGTATTCTAATCATCTGGAAAGGGTTGAAGTTTAGTAAAAGAAAAAACTTGTTCATTTCTGAGCATGAGCACTAAGAAGGAATCATTTTGTGCTGAGCCCAGAAGGAAATTTGGACACATAGAAAGGACATCATTATTGAACAAATTGGAATTCAATTGTCATATTGGGTCTAAAACTTTAATCCCTAAGGAATTATTTATCACAAACACTGAGGGCTTTAATTGCTCTGTCTATCAAGAGACATCACTGTAAAGACATATTGGAACCAAATGCTGCCATCTCCCCTCCCATTATGTGTGTGTGAGTGTGAGTTTGTGTGTCTGTGTCTGTTTCTGTGTATGTGTGTCTGTGTGTGTCGGTGTGTGCACGTATGTGCTTGTATGTGCATTTAGCAGCCAGAGGTCCATGTTGGGTATCTTCCTCATCACTTTGTACCTACCCTTGTTGAAGGAGGAACCCTTACTAACCTAAAGGTCACCAAATTGGTTAGACTGGCTGGTTGGCAAATCTCCCGTCTCTATTTCCCAAGCACTGGCATTATGGACACACCCTGAGCACTGGGCTTTGGGGTTGAATTAAGGCCCTCATACCTATCCAGAAAGCATTTTACCAACTGAACCATCTCCCCAGTCCCATCATAACTCCCTTCTTGAGAGATAATACTTTCTCTATGTGATCATATTCACCAGTCATCTGACTACATACATCCAAAATCATTCCATAATTTTCAGAACAGCACTAGATCCTGTGTGTGAAGCAAAGGTATATTAATGGAAAATACATCCCTATAGAAATTATAAACCATTTAAGAAATGGGTTTTTGAGGTTAACACTAAACAACATCCTGATAGCTATTACTAATAGATGTGTTAGATGCCAGGCAGAGCTGTTTGTAAACATTAAAGGACTTTCTTTACACCTCATCGTACTTTCTCAAAACAGGCTCACGTCTAGTGCTATTTTCCCCAAGTTTTAAAAGAAGAAAGTCAGTGGCTAAGGCAGTGCAAACACAATGAGTAGGGATGATTACAAAACCCACCCTCTAGCCATTGAACTACTTGGATTTTCACTGGCAAAAGCTAAGAATGAAGGTTACCTATTGACCAGAGGACATTAGATGAGGTGCCATGAGAAAGCTTTAAAGAACGAGTCAGAGTGAAATAAGTAAATAGAAAGGGGTTAAGGTCGTCTAAATACAAAGTTATATAAACCTTGTGTGGCGGTCAGAAGGCTAGAATAGCAGGCATGATCAGGGAGACAAGAGTCAAGGGTGTGTAGGGTGTTCCAACCTGGACACACATCTAAAGTGTTTTCATTTCAAATACATTCGCACCGGCATAGAAGTGTGTTTTAGTGCACCCAGTGCTCAATTCAATAGTGTCAATTTTAATTTGTAACAAAGGTCTTGGAAGCCTGTGGAAATGGGATGTGTTTTACAATGCTATTGTAAGCATTAAGGGTAGAAGAGAGGAAGGAATTAGATTACAGTCTAGATTAGCAAACGTTATTTTATTCATAAAAACCAAAACCCCAAGAAAATGTCTTGATTTATAACTGCTCAAATTAATGCATAAGTCTAGGATCTATGCGCAGCTGGTTCTTGCTGTCACCATGCCCATGTAGCATTGATGAATAGGATGAAATCAAAACAGGTAAATGACCAGATTTTGTCCCAGATACCAAAAAATGAGCCTCCAAACCTTCAGGCCAATGTTGCTGTGTCATCTGCTCCCTTCATTTTGGTGTCCCTGCCCCTCATCTACACAACCCCTCTCGCCTCTTTCCACCAATGCCACTTCCAATACTACTGTTTGTGAACACGGGGAAAAGATAAAGATTCTTCTGCTCTGACTCAAGTATAAGCGTTCATTCCTTGGGAAAGAACACAGCAATAGCCCACCCATGTTTAGGACACAGCGTGCAATAACTCTTCAAAAAAGGTAAGCGAGAAGGAGATGGAATGGCCAGTGAGCCAGCTCAGCGGGCAAAAGCTCTTGATGTAAACTGTATCCCAGGACCCCACATGGTGAGAGGAGAGGCCCAATTCCCACAAGTTGTCCTCTGTCCTCACACATACCATAGAATGCACATACGTAAACATGTTCAATCCCTCTATCCTCTCCCTCCCTCCGTGATTTTTTTAGAAATATTTAAAAAAAAGCAAAGTACAATAAGGATCTACCTATTATTCAGAAAGAAATCTCTCAAAAAAGAATATTAAAATATAGTCATCGTGTTCAAGTAGAATAAACCTATGGATTCAAGTTTTCTAAAGAAATATGTATATTTATAACAAAATCTCTATGAGATATATATCAAGAGAATTAATACATACAAGTATTTCATGGGGAAATAAAGAAAATTTAGTGAGTGAATCCATAAGAATTATTACAGTTGGTGAACTGGCCAGCCAGAACTGAAGACCTTGGGTGATATTAGTATCTTCTTTTTTTCCAAAGTGGGTACAGGAATGAAATAAAGTATGAAAACACTTCTAATTGGGCAAAAGGGAATCAGCATTTTCACAGGAAGAGGTAAGGACTAATGCCTAACTGCATTTCAAAGTTAGACAACACATTGGTTTATTGGCCCACAGGCTGAGGCCGAGACTGTGGACATGTTTCTTTGCTCGCGGCGACAATGGCGGCACCAATACCTCCTGAGTGTTGCCATGGTCAGATTCTGTGGGCCTGGGCAGGGAGCACAGATGGAGACAGCCCCGGACCCTGTCCTCCCGCGGCTTACACTGTGCTACTACAAAGAACAGTGAGTGCCCTGGGATCAGAAGTGCAGTCACCACAAAGCCTCCAGATGAAGAACCCAGCTTCTGTAACAAGGAAGTTGTCTTGCTGAATTAGCAGTTTTACAGAGATCTGAATCTTTCCCAGTAAGAAGAAAAAGAACAAAAAAAAGTACTTTTCACTGTGTGCTTAATAGATTTTTTTTTGAACTTTAAAGAAACAGGATGGAAGATAAAGACAAATCCCCTCCAAGTCAAAGAGCAGACCCTTAAGCCCTGCCCAGCCAGGCAATGCTGACTCCAGGGCTGGAGGCAGGCCAGACCTGCACAAGCAGCTTAGAAGGGTTCCACAACTATGTGGCGTTCTCCGCTACAAACGATACTGATAAAACTGATTCCACTGTACTGCCACGACATCAGTGACGTCACTCATTAGTTACAGATGACGGCTGGGGCAGGGGCATAGATGAGTACACGCATCCACAGGCATCCACGAGGTCACTGTGCCCTCTCCTCACACACGCCTGTCCTCAGTACCGTCCCCTCAGAGCTCTGTCCTTCCGCCCTTGAAACGCTTAGTTTCTTCCAAGTTTACAATTAGCTAATGTAAGGATCGAATCAGGGGAAACGTGCTGACGAGAAGGGATCGGGCGCGAGGGGAGTGACTACTGCCTGCCAATTCAAACAGCGCCTGATGGTAAAATATGATCTTGGGAACAAAACTGGAATGGGAGCTATACTGTCCAGAGCATGGATCCGCGGTGTGCATGCTGAAAGCCGCGTCTGGGAATTCGCTGCGGTAGCTCTGGGGAACACTGACACGCATGTTATGTCTGCTAACACCCATTTGAATGACAGCATGTTCTTCTTCCGTCTAAAATATGTGTCAAGATAAACCGTTTGCCCTAGTCTAGAACAATCCAAAAAACAAACATGACCCTTAAAGCCGAAGGCCGCAGAAAGGTTAAATACCCAAGTTTGAAGAGGAACTGATTTACATCTATGACAGAGCAGGAACCCAGCACACAATTCACTTCTCTTCATGTTTCTGAAGCCACATCTCATGGACTTGATGTGGTTTAACAAAAATACTGCTTTGAAAACCCACACACAGAAGGCCCAAAACTTGTGAATCGGGCAACACGAGACAGGCACGCCGACGTAGGAGATTCTTAAATGCCAGGTCATCCATTTAGCCGCGATTCTAGACACCTGCTATCACTAAGCTTGTTCTCAATGTTCAGGCAACCTAATTTAAACAGCTGATGTCTGCCCTAATCCAAACAAGCCTGGCGACCAAGTAAAAGCTTGACGATCCTGCCACCTAGTGGCCGTAGAGAAACTGCAGCCAACATTGCCTGACGAGAAGAGCAGGCTGCTGCGGCAATGTCTGTCCCCGCCACGCGTGGAATGTATCATTGTGAATCAGGTGTGTACAGTACCAATTCTGAAAGCAAACTTATGAAGATTTGATTTGTCTCTGGGATTATCTTGAAATTATTCAAGTGGGCCAAGGTTTTACTCATCTTCAAACATTAAAAAAAAAAAAAAGACTAGAGGTCATTTGCTATTGTTGATTTTTTTTCTCTTTTTCCTGCTCTGTATGCTCATCCAAACCCTTTTCCTAGTCTTTGGGGTTGATCCCAGATGGATATACCCTGCCAAATCCAAAAGTCATGTGGCCAAGCCATCATAGAAATTCCCTTTGTGCTGCTGAGCTGTCATTACCAAAGGGTCGTTAGACCTTCACAAAGCCACAGAAATCTTCTTCGAAGAAAGAAAAGGACATGTGCAGAAACCCCTAAAGTACCCATCTAAGAGCCAGGACCATAGTGAACACTGTAGGTAGCCAGAGGAACACAGAGAGATCAGCACAAAGTGTTTCTACACCCATCGTTAGCAGATGAGTCTCCCTGACCTGCCTGCACCTCTAACAGGTGGGACAGCAGGAAGCCAGAATTGTTCACCTTCTCCACCGAAGGAGAATCCCAAATCCTACCTGCTGACGTTTGAAGGCTAAATAATCCAGGTTTTCCAGCTCCTTCCCCAGCTTCTGGTAGGTCTTCTGGAGGTCAGATTTGTTGGAAACATTTTTAAGAGACTCAAATGTTCTTTGAAACTGCAAATGAAAAGAAAGGCAGATTATAATAGTGACAGATTCTTCTCAAATTCCTAGCTAGCTAACAGAGTCAACAATGCGCTTCAGTTTTACCCACTATAATTCAGAGACAACAAATGCTAGCTAATTACCCTTCAGTGGACTGATTAGGGATGATTATGAAGAGGTGGGAACTGCATGTGTGCCGCCAGCATTACACATGAATGAGAAGTCCATTTGGTTCTCAATGAGCATACGTCATCCAGAGTCAAAGAGCTTCCATGCTTCAGGGTCCCTTGAAGAAAACGAGACTTAATGTGTAATTTTAAGTCTAACAAAGTAATATTATAAGGCTCTCAGGGCTGGAAGATATTTCAGTTGGTGACGTGCTTGCTCTGCAAGCCTGAAGACCTGAGGCTGGATCCCACCATCCACCTTTGTAATCCCAACACTGGGAAGGCATAGACAGGACCATCAGCCCAACAGTCAGCCTAGCCAATTGGTAAGCTCCGCTACCGCTTTACTAAGTCAGCATAACGCCTAATTACAGTCTGAGTGTCTGTCCTTAGAGCCACAGCTAAGTGCAGCTCTCACCCCTCCTCAAGGAAACTTCTCTTTGCAGTAGATGAAGATCATTACGGGAAACCACAACTGATCAGAATGTAAAGCTGTGATGCTCAGTCCCATGTGGTGCCCAGTCCCATGTGGTGCCCAGTCCCAGCTAATACATCTATAACACCTCGGGCTCAGAGATCATTGCCAAAGGAGGGGGCGGGGAAAAGATTACAAGAGCCAGAGGAAGAGTGTGCTGTGAAATTGTGACACCTAGAAACGTCAGAGAAGCTACGCCTATAAAGTCTCACTAACATGTCCACCTAACCACGACCAGAACCAGGATGACATTAGACACATTAACATGAGAACCCTAGACAAAGAACTACAGGCAACTAAGGAATGATGAGAGTTGGGGAAATAGATTTCCCCGGGGAAGAGCGTGTGTGTGTGTGTGTGTGTGTGTGTGTGTGTGTGTGTGTGTAAAACAAAGAAAAGGAGTCCATGGATTTGAATAAGAGCAAGAGAGGGGTACATGGGAAGGGTTGGTGAGAGGAAGAGAAACGGGTAAATGATGTAATTATATTATAATTTTTAATTAAGTGAGTTTTAATTTTTTTTAAATAAGGTAGAGAGTGACTGAGGAAGATACCTGATATGCTGACCTCTGACCTCTACATTCATGTGCAGAAAGGTGCATGGCTCCAGAGAGAAGGATGGAGAGAGAGAGACAGAGACAGAGACACACACACAGAAGGGTGTGGAGAGATAGAGATTCTCTTCTTGAGAGGAAGAAGGAGATCAGAGGGACTGGGAGGGGGAAAAGAGAGTCATGGTGGGGAGGAAAGAATCACCAAATACGTTATATACGTGGATGAAAATGTCATAGTGAAACCCATCATTAATATATGCCAGAAAAACCATGTTTCAACCAGTTCTCACATGTCAATCATGCAAACAAACAAACATATGCTTGGATGTGTTCCCGTTGTGCCGTGAGACTTGGCTTGTGTCTGTAGGACCCGTGCAAAGAACCAGTCACCCGTGAGCGTCAGAAAGGAAGATTTCTCAGTGCCTGTATTTCAGGAAGGGAGGCGCACTAACACGTTGACGACGGAAGCATATGTGGTACATTCATCTTTGCTCTGTAACCAATGGGTTACAAAATCATTTCTGCTGAACTGGACTGTCCGTTCTCAAGTCACACGCTGGATGAACGGGACAAATTGCAGTAGATCAGGGTGCTTCCCGCTACTAATAAGGAAGGGGAGCTCATAAAAAATTGAATTCTTGGTGTTTTAGTAAATAAGAACATACTTTGGAGGGTTGGTAATTGAAATGTCTAGTGACATAATTCTCATTTTCTCTCTTTCTCTCGTTTATTTCCTACATCTTCTTCTTATACCATCAACTGGGTTTCTACAAATAGAGACCACCATTTAAACACACCAGAATCCCCCTACTGTGATGTCGCGAGACAGGCTTGTAAGGTGTTGTAGGGTATAATTAAGTTCCCAGGGATGTGATTTGATCCTTGGTGTACCGGACTCTAAGGAGTAAGTCGCAATTGAAGGGGGTTCTACTGAATTATGTCCTCCAATTCAGAAAGGCAACATGTTCATCTCAATCCAAAGTGAAGAGAAAACTGAAATGCTTCCGTAGAAGGACAGGAAGTTAAACCCAACAAATACCACTTAATGCCTACTCTCGTCAAGGTGCTATGAATATAAAATATATATCCTTCCCTGGGGGAACGTAAAGGTTACAGGGAAAAGTAGACATGAAAATCAGAAACGGGAAGGGCATTGACATTTACTAAGTGCGTGTTTAGCCCCAGGTATGGTATGCCTTCCAACTGAACTCTCGAATCAACAACACGAGTTCCTGCTCCGTTCCCGTTATTGATTGGGTAAACTGGACCTCAGAAAGCTTGATGGGATGGGGACTTGACTCCACTATCTGTTGTCCTTCTGTAGAAAGCGGGTGCACACGGGAGGTAAGGGGAGCATGCAGTGAAGGCTTTAATGCTCACTGAGAGTGACTGAGGGGTTCACATAACACAGAAGAGTGAAGGAGTCTGAGTTGGGCCACAGAGAACATGAAATTTCAGATTCCTGGGGATGAACCAACTCTACTCACGAGTTTATCTGTTTTAACTTTTTTACTTATGTTTGCTATTAATCTATTTGTTTTCTTTGTATGTGTGTAGGCACACATGTGAAATGACACACATGCAGAAGTCAGAGGACAATTCTTGAGAGTCAGTTCTCTCCTTCAGTGATGTGGACCCAGGGATGGGACTCAGGTCATCAGGCTTGGCAGCAAGCTCCTTACCCACTGAGCCATTTCACTAGCCCCCACCCATCAGTTTAAACACACCCAAAGTCTGCTCGTGGCCCTGCTCTTGTAAGATAGAAACCAAATTCTTTTCAACACAGTTTTAATAACCTTTATGTTAAAATAATCTGTTTTGTCATGTGATCTTTTCCATGTCTTGGCCAATTTTTTTGGTTCCTTCTCTGTATGTTTAAACCAAAAACCCCACCCAATCCAGGACTCTAAACGATGTATTTTCTCTATAAATCAATTACTATAAGCTATTTACCAAAAGTCTCACTGAAGTTAAAATACTTGATGCCATCATGCTGCCATGTAGCTATGCGAACCTTACGCAACTGCAGGGAACTTCAAAATAAGAAACACACAAAAACAGTATTTCCAGGTACTACTTTCAGGGCCGAGGAAGAAAGTGAGAAAATCCAGTAATGCCCCATCCTCAAGAGAGTGCTTTAACTGAAGGTCAGTGTTTGCATAATGTGGGGATTTTAGCTTGAGTGTTCATTATCAGGACTCATCTCTCCCATTTATCAATACTAACGTGCTCTGGGTCCCTTAGGACGGCCATGACTGATTTATCAATACTGACGTGCCCTGGGCTCCTTCAGACGGCCATGACTGCACTCTTCTAACTAGATTGCGCCTACAAACCGTCGTCATGGGGTTGTCCTATAAAATTTACAACCTGGCGTTGGTGGGATTTCTGTTATGCTTCCTGCACCCTCCCCCACTGCCCGTGTGTATACTTAGGGTGCTATATACTCCAAGCAGTGCTTTCGCTTTGTTGATAAAGCGAAGGAGCCAGGGGAAAAGATGAACCTGGTGAAGCTCAGCTGTGTGATAAAAGACTACTGACTCGGTTTGAGGAATGTTCTTTTAGGTGTTCTTTCTTTTGGCCATCAAAGGGGACCTCTGAGATCACCTACAGTAGCAAGATGCTGTAGTTTCATTGTATTGATTATTTCTCAAAAGAAACGAAATGAAAGTTTTTCAAGCGGAAATAATTTGGGAAAGGATGAACAAACAAATTGAAAATATATTAATATTCCTTACATTTACAAGTTCAAAATTTTAAGGGGAAATTTAGTCTGAGACAAGAATCACAAAATAATTTCTTGGTCTTTAAATTCACCCTGTTTCTTATTTTATCTCATTACAAACCAAATTCAACAACCCCCCCCCCCAAGAAAAAGACTCAGCAAATCAATTGGAAATAAAAACAAATGTAGGCGTTTGCCAAAACTGTGGAGACTGGATATTAAAGTGATCTCTGAGCTGAGAAACAAATCCAATTTTGTCCTATTTGACTACCTTATCGTCTATCAAAGGGCATACAAGATAAGCATAGAAAGATGCAGGCAGTATCCCTATACCAACACCCGGAGTACAGGCAGGCATTATGAACACTCCCACACCGTGCTCTTCGTCACGTTGTCTCAGCTCAAAAATAATAAGAACAGCAATCCATCAAACACACAGCAGAGACCACGCTTGTTCATCTCCCATTAAAATAACCGAAGACTTGTCCCACACGAAGGAAGAAGCATGAAACAGGCAACGGGAAGATGCCTAGTCTGACTCAGCACTCCGTCTCTCCCAAAACACATCTATTCTCCTTTTCCCTGACAATACGTATTTAAATAAATCTGAGCCAATGTGCTGTAGAAACCACACAGTCAATCAGTTTGTAAAAAATTATGTATATTCATGGAGAAATTTGAGAAGGAGGATGAGAAGAAATTGGCTGAGACAGCAAGAAAAGGAAGTGCCAGGACTCTGACAAGTCCTGCTTCCCTCGGGCCCTGCCCGCCTGCTGTCCTAGAATTGGTTGATTCAAACCAGGACTTCAGTGGCCTACCACCTGTGTCCCATGAGAAGATGCCCAGTAGTGCCACCCAAGCAAGGGTGACTCGGTAGCTATCTTTTTTTCTTATTTAATGTTGTATATATTTGTACAAAATTCTAGGTTCTAATGTAGCATAAAGAAAAACCCCAGATTTCTCTCAGGAGGAAGGGGGAGCATCAGAAGCTTTCCTGAGGTAGTAAGGATAAGATGGGAGGAGAGAACAAAGGCAAGCCTTTGTCTATTGGCCTCTAAACAAGGTCAAGAAACAAAAACGACAGGTCACATTTTCAGAAGGAAGTGTGTGCCCTCAGAGAGCTGAATGTTTTAAGTGAATACCCTCTGTATAAAAGAAATACGCGATAGTTGCGTGCACTTGTGTAAATGTTGACTACAGCACCCTTCTTGGGGTGAGGAAAAGACTTTGAAGAGTAATTGAAGGGTCTGGAGAAAGGGACCAGAACTCACACCAGACAGCTCACATCTACCTTTAACTCTAATTCCAGGGGATCCAATGCCCCCTTCTGGCCTCTGTGGGTACTGCACTTACAGGGCACATACCCCTCACATACACAGACATACACGTAATTAAAAGTAAAATACAATCTTTTTTAAAAGAGAGAAACTTGAGGTGAATGAAGGAAGCCAAGTAAGAAAGGTTATAAACTGAAAGACTCCAGCAGGCCCGGGCTTGGCAAACATGGCGCTGGCAGACCTTGCTGTTCCGCCTGCCCTCTCCATCAGGGTCTATTCTCGTTTTTGGACACTTTCTTATGCCAGACTCCTTCCAAAGCTGACTACAAACTCCAGCAGTCAAAATCCCCCTTTAGTTCACCTAATTAACATTTCCAATCAAACTATCCCACCGTATCCTAGCCCATTCTAACACAGACATCCCTTTTCCTCTTCTTAAAAATTAAAACATCTGCAAGGTCATTTGCTGCTGTTTTTCTGCCTGAGTCAGAAAGCAGCCACTTTAACTTTTCTTCTCCACTTAATAAAGGACCTCTGTGAAAACAGGTGTTTGGTGTGGTTTGGGTCTCTTCTGGGGTCTCAGTGGGAGCCCCCGATGTGTATGGGTTTCTTCAATAACTCTTTACTAAAAACAAATGAAGAGGAACTTAGGGATCAGACTACAGGTAGGGAGAGGGAAGAGAGAAGAAATGTGAGTTGATAAAAGTCCTTAGAAAGGACTGAGATGTACCTCATTGATAAAGTACCTGCCTGGTTTGTGCAAAGCCCTAGGTTCCCATCCCTAACCAGCTGACAGCTGCGTGCAAAGGAAAGACTGATTTTCCCCAGTGGAGTCTCACTGGGTATACGAAGCACTCTTAAGGGCGAGCCCCACATGGGTGCAACAGTAGATGGCCAATACAGAATGAACTCAATGGTGTTCTTTTTTTAGAGCCTGTCCTGGAACTAGCTCTGTAGACCTCACTGATGTTTTGATTGTATATTATGCTTTCTAATTTGTGGTTGTGTGTATGTTTATGTCTGTGCGTGTCTCTCTGTGTCTGTGCCTGTGTATGTGTGTGTTTCTTGTACTTTTTTGTTACTTTTTGTTGTTTTATTCTGTGTTTTAAATTCTTAGCTTGGGGGCTGGAGAGATGGCTCAGCGGTTAAGAGCATTGCCTGCTCTTCCAAAGGTCCTGAGTTCAATTCCCAGCAACCACATGGTGGCTCACAACCATCTGTAATGAGGTCTGGTGCCCTCTTCTGGCCTGCAGGCATACACACAGGAAGAATATTGTATACATAATAAATAAATAAATATTTAAAAAAAAACCCTTCCCCTTTTAAAAAAAAATTCTTAGCTTGGGGTTGTTTTTTTGTTTTTATTTTTTTAAGAAGGTATGGCGTTGGATGGGTGGGGAGACGGGGAGGGTCTGGGAGGAGGTGGGAGAGGGGAAGCCATAATTAAAATATATTGTATGGAAAACATTACTTTTGATTAAAACTTTTAAATTAAACAAAAAAAAGAATAGTGAGGATATGGTTCTAACAAAGAGCATTTGCCCTGTGGATGTGCAGCCGTAAGTTTCACCACCTAGGACCACAAAAAGAGGGCAGTAGTGGCTACTTACGAATGACGGTAAAACTCCGAGCATGTCAAGCTTCAAGTTAAGGCTTCTCTATACATTTATGTGTATTATACTATTCACACCTATACATTAATGATATTATCTCCATCACTGTGTTGTCACTTGTTTAATTAATATGGGGTTCTGGGGAGATGGGAGATGGCAATTGTGTAGGTGAAGCAATTGTTCTGCAAGTGAGGACTGGAGGTCACGTCCTCAGCAGCACAGAAAATCCAAGTGGCCGTGGAGGCTTGTGTGTAACCCCAGAGCTCAGGAGTTGGGGATGAGTGAGCCCCGGAGAGGCTAGCTAGCCAGACTAGCCAAATCATGAGCCCTGGGTCTAGGTAGAGACCAGCTTCAGCCAATAAAGTAGAGAGCAATCAAGTAAGACACCTCACACGCCACACTCACTCGGTGTTTAAACGTCTAGAATTTCCGTGACTTTAGGACTGCTAAGTTCTAGTGTCATTCCTGGGGGTGTACAGGGAGGTAGTTTTCACACCCCTGTCTGGTCAGCTCCTGATAAAGTGGGGCAGGAAGCGCCAGGATTGATGTTTGCTCCAGAGCGGGAATTAAAAATGAAAGCAATGCCAAGGCAAATTAAGTCATCTTCTACTTACAGATGACACATGCTGCAAGAGACACATGACATCAATCATGTCCGCAAGGATAAGGAGTCTTGTAACTGCTGCCAACAAGGCGCGGGCAGCTTGCACCACAGCCTCCCTTTTCGGGAGGTAACAGGGGTCATCTGTAAATCTCTCGGCTGACGCCTTCAGAGCATTGCCTGAAAAACACAACCCCAAGTAAGTTATCAATTTGAGTGTCAACAACAGCTACTTCGGCATTAATCAGCCACCCTAACTCCAAGAGTATTCCATGAATAACCACAATATTAAAATAAACTGTCATATGGTACTCCGAGCAGCACATCTTAAAACAGCACCGCTTCCAGTCGGCACTTGTTTGTGACGAGTGCTCTTGAGTCCAAAGAAGCGCCGTGCTGTCTTCTCCTGGAGAAACTCTTTCTCGGCTGACGAGCAACATCAAGTAAAAATGGCTGCCTGCTTCTGCGGTTGCCCCAGCTCCATTGCTGCGAAGTGGTTCAAGACTAAGACTTCACTCAGTCACAAAGGTCCTTGTTTGTAAAACTGGAGGGAGGCTTCCCTGAGTAGTGGTCGTTTGCTAACTCAGTGACAGCAGACTGAGTCACTCACTAGGAAGAGTGCTCGCCCAACACATGTGAAGCTCTGGAGTCAATCCCCAGCACCCACGCACCAGACACGCCAGGGCACACTTATAATCACCCCACTCTAGATGTAGACCAAAATACAAGGTCATTCTCGGGCTACGCAAAATATGATAGCCTCTCTCTGATAATAGCTCACCATAGGCAGGCTTACTCTATACAATGTAAAGTCTAGACTTTTGTCACGAAAATAATATTACAAATACATCATTGTCAGAGAAACAACATCCCTTCTATTTTCAAGGTCTTTTGACTTAAAGTATTTGCTTTCAGAGCTACCGATACAGAAGAGGCTAAAATGAAAAGGGAAAGAAAGGCTGCCTTCTCCATCCCCATCCCCAGTGACCAAACTCACAGAGAATGACTACATCCGCTGTTCAAGGTTCATAACATAAACTTAGTTCATCATTAAAGTAATATGTGTCTATTTCTTTTATATAACAGCATAGAGCTCGTGCGATGGTTCAGTAAGTAAAGGGTTTTGGCCACTAAAGCTGTCGACCCAAGTTCATGCCCCAGGATCTGCATGGGGAAGGGGAGAGAGCTCACTCCCCAAAGTTGTTATCTGACCTCCACACACATGTCCTGGCACACGCACACACTAAATAAGTTAATCAATTAATTAGCTAATTAACAAGTAGATACAATAAATCTCCTTTAATAATAATTCAGAATACTAAAGAATATAAAGTAAAAATGTTTAGTTCTCCATACTAATCCCTAAAAACACCAACTATTCTGTTTTTATATACTTGAGTAGAAATTTCTCACTGAAGTTCTGTTTCATGTGTCTGTATACACATGTTTATTTATAAATGCATCTGCATGCTTTATATATGCGTACTTTGCAAATGTATTCATACACGTCCACATTTAACACAAATATGCAGAGATTTCATACCACATAAAAACATAATCATTATACATACTATAAATGGGAAAGGCGATGAATGCTGGGCTGCTTCTCAAGGAGAATCATCTCATAGAAACTCTCTACAGTTTGTTCACCGTGCTCACCAGTTACTTTCTGTACCCTGTGGGACGGCGGATGATCAAGAGCCACAGCAAGGAGCAGGCGCGTAAGTCAGACTGGCTCCCCGTGTCTGTTCACATGCCTTCTCTATGCTCTAATTTCCTTGGTTGTGAATGGAATAATAAAAACAGCGGAAGTCTGCCCCTAACAAAATATTTGGTTGTGATTTTTTTCAGAAATTAATAAGCTATCTTGGAATTCATATAGAAATTTCAAAAGACTAATAATAACCAAAACCATCTTGGAAAACAAGAATGTTGTTCTTATGTCAAAACTTATTATAAAACTATTAAAAAAAATAGAATTGACATTCCCAAAAGCAATTCTTAGGCAGGTTGTGGTGGCACACACCTTTAATCCTAGCACTTGGGAGGAAGAAGTAGGTGGATCTCTGTGAGTTCAAGGCCAGCTTGGTCTACAGAGCTAGTTCCAGGACAGACACAGTGAAACCCTCTTGAAAAAAACAACTGAAAAAAGAAAAAGCAATCCTTAAGATTTATGGTCAACTAGTTTTCAACAAAGGTTCCAAGAAAAGTCATTAAGAACGTGGTCATGTTTTGTGTGTGTTTGTTTTATTTTGCAATAAATGGCTCTGGGATAATTAGTCACATGATAAAAAACATGATTCTCTGTCTCAAATTATATGCAAAAGTCAACTCAGAGTGGGTCATAGAATCCCATGCGAAACCTCACGAACTCAGGCTCTGCAATAACGTCTTAAATGTCGCACCAAAGGCACATGCAGTAAAATGACAAACGATGCTATCAAAACCTAATATTTCTGAACTTCATTTTTTTTCTTTTTTTTAAATATTTATTTATTATGTGTACAATATTCTGTCTGCGTGTATGTCTGCAGGCCAGAAGAGGGCACCAGACTTCATTACAGATGGTTGTGAGCCACCATGTGGTTGCCGGGAATTGAACTCAGGACCTTTGGAAGAGCAGGCAATGCTCTTAACCACTGAGCCATCTCTCCAGCCCCCTCTGAACTTCATTTTTAAGATGTATTTTTTACTATTTTTAATCATGTGTTTACTTGTGTGTGTGCATGCATATGAATATGTTTGTGAGTGCAGCTGCCTGAAGAGGCCCAGGTGTTAGGTTTCCTGGAGCTGGAGTTACAGGTGGTTGTGAGCTGCCCCAAGGGGAAGCTGAGAAAAAAGAGTGGATCCTCTGCAAGCACCGTACATGCTCCTGACCACGGAGTCATCTCTTCAATCATAAATTCTCGACTCTAAATGAGAGCATCAAGAAAGTGAATGGGGGACTGGGAATATGGCTCAGCAGTTAAGTGAGTGTGCTGTGTGCTTAGAGAGGGCCCCAGCTGGAACTGTCCCAGAATCTACATGGTGGCTCACAACAGTCTCTCATTCCATTTCCAGGAGGTCCGACACCCTTTTCTGCCTCACTTTTCTGACCTTCAAGGGAGCCGGGCACACACATGGATCAGGTAAAACACTCAAACATATAAAACAAAAATAATTAAATCTTTAATTTAAAAAAGAAAATGAAAAGACAACCTACAAAATGAGGGAAGACACTTTGAAATTGTGTGTCTAAGAAGAGGCTTGTAGCCCTCCCATCAGGGAGAGAAGCAGCGCTCACGGGTTGCTGTTTGCTAAGAGACTGAAGGAAATGAGAAAAGAATTCTAAATAGAAACAGTAGCAATTATGTTGGCATCTGTGGAATCTTTGACTCCTGGTCATCATCACTACCTTATGCTGCTGAGGAAATACAAATTCTCCAAGAGAAAGCAGCTTTGCCTACAGCCAAACAAACAACGAGATGACAGACTATGACTCTGACTCAGACATGCTGAACTCCAAGCAAGGTGCCCTCATCGCCACAGTATGTCCTTTCTAGATATGGAATACAACTGATGGACCTAAGATCAAACATGTCAACATTTCATGCTTCAGCCTTCAATTCTGATGGCATGTGGTTGTAAACAAAGGTAAGTTTGCCAAGAATCTGACACACACATCAAGACTGCTAACAAAGCTCCCAAGTTCATCCTCTCAGGTGAGACTCACGGTAAGAAAATAAATTCAGTGACCCTGACTTTCCAGAGAGTCTGTAGAAAACTTGTGGTAATTTGCAAGCCCCCGTTAACTAGCCCCCTGTTGTGGAGGGGCCAGAAGTCACTGTCCACCATGTAACTGTTACTCAGGAAATATTATAACTGAATTAAATGAGAAAAACTCTAGTTTAAAGCTCGTAACTTAATAATAAAAAGATAAACCAACTTTTACGTTTATTTATTTTATTATTTTTATCTGTATGAGTGTTTTACTTGCATGTATGTATGTGTATTGTATGCGAGCTTGGTGCTCACGAAGACAGAGAGGGAATCATATTCCCTGGCACTAGAGTTACACACGGCTGTGAGCCGCTTTGTGGTTACTGAGACTTGAACCCAGGTCCTCTGCAAAAGCAGCAACTGCTCTTAACAGCTGAGCTTACTCTCCAGTTCCAATCCGACTTTTAAATAGGCAAAGGCCCTAAATAGGCATTTTAAAGAAGAAGAAATACAAATGGCTAGTAAGCACATTAATAGATTTTCTAGTGTTAATACAATCTAAATTATTAAAGCATAATTACATCTATATTAAGGTTTTAGTAAGGTCTTTCATCAAGATTGTTTGATTGGTAGACATTTAGTAGTAGTCAGTGTCAAGACATTGAAGACCAAAGAGCACAGCAAGAGTAACAAGAGTGATCGGGTATCTGTGTGTACTGGAAGTGATCACTGTAGTAACTGTTACACACAGGAACAACTCCTAGGAGGAAGCAGGGGAAAGGCAGTGTGTACGTTGTTACTAGTTTCTTCCCATGTTAGGGATTGGGGAAACTCAAGATTACTGAAAGGTTGACTGAAGGGTGCTGGTGGAGGTCTCTGGTGTACAGCACTCCAACAGAACGCATGAGCAGGCGCTGGAGAGACGACTCGGTGTTCCAGAGTGTGCTGCTCTTGCCGAGGACTCGAGTTAGTTTCCCTGCACCCACATTAGGTGACTCAGTGCTGCCCCAGCTCCAGGGAATCCTCTTCTGCCCTCCACTGGCAACCTCAGTCACATAAACGTTTCCTCACAAATGCATAGAAATAAATGTTTAAATGTCAATAAATCTTTTAAAAAAAAAATAGTGGGGGCTGGAGAGATGGCTCAGTGGTTAAGAGCACTGGCTTCTTTTCCAGAGGACCTGAGTTCAAGTCCCAGCACCCACATGGCTACTCATAACTATCTATAATGGGATTTGGAGCCCTCTTCTGCTATGCAGGCCTACATGCAGATAGAAGACTCAACTACACAAAATACATAAATAAATAAACCTCTAAGTTAAAAAGATACAGTAATGAATGAGCATGCAGAGTGGGCAAACAGGGAGATCCCTGGATACCCTGCGAAGAATACCATTAGCTAAACTGAAAAATTTGAGCAGTTGAAACTAATTAAACCATCTCTAATAATTCTCCCATTATAATTCCAAAATGGATTATTA